TATAAGCTATAGTTAATTACATCTTCTACATCTTCAATGACCGAAGTCACTTAAGAAAACTCTCGATAAAAATCAGAGAATACTATCTTCAAAGAAGTTAAAAAGATAAGACTTTTCAACAAAATCGGACTAAAGAGTGTGAAATGGGAAAAACTCAAATTCAAAACATTCTTGAGGAATCCAAATGAGGGAGAACTAGGGGAGGTCATAAATCCAGAGACGAACCTCGATAACATACCAATCTATCCTATGATTTGACTTCAGTTTCGAGAAAAAATATTTATGTGTTTCATCTTGCCAATTTTATTTGTTAGGGCTTACATTCGTGTGAAACGATCACACAAATAGCCTGGAAGATGTGAGGATCATGTCGTATCGAACGACAACCTCGGAACCTAAAACGAGTTAGGGCTTAAATCGTACAACAGTGCTATATGAATGCCTAAAGGAAAGGTAGAGGATTTATGTTGTGCTAGACAAACAACCTTAAAATCCTATGGATTGTTGTTTTAATTTCTAGGAAAGGAATGATTTAACTGGGGAAGGCATGTAGGGGAAGATATGTTCTGCTGTTGAAGATGGTCGTGCTGCCCACCGCGCTAGCTCCAAGCCCCTCGTCCTGACGAGTTTAAGTTTTATAGGGTGACAGGTTATGATGTCAAATCAAGTGGCCCTATGGTTGTAGTCCTTCAGATATTTTATAAATAACATGTTGAAGTTGTACAGTGTAAAGCGTAACAGTAGAGTATGTAGCACATGACAAACAGTAGAGTATGTAGTAAAGAAAGCAGCACAACATGCAGTGTAAGAAAAAAAAAAGGTAAAAAGAGTACAACAAAAAAAATTACAGCATGTAGGTGATTTGCAAGAAAGCAACATGCTGTAAACATAAAACAAACCTGTATACCTGAGAGGTCCACTGTTCCTTAGGTGTAATTGATGCAACAGGTACAAACAAAAAACTTGAGGAAACAGATTGAAATGCTTTATATAAACGAAAACAAAGAGACATCATTCAGAAATCTCAAGGAAGGTCGTCTAAAGACTCACGACAAGAGAAATGCAAGGAAATCATCGAATCGACAAGTCGATTAAAATCGTAGAAAACACGAGAAAATCTAAAGAAAAAGAGACCACGTGTGCTTTGTCCAAAAATTCCAAGAAAAACATATGAAAAAGTCTTAGAAGAGGGGACTGCAAGCACTCGGGACTAGAAGAGGGGACTGCAAGCACTCGGGTCGGGGCTAGGCTCAACTATATATTAGTATTCGAGGGTCGTCGAAGGCTACTCGGTCACCGGGATGTATAAAGTCCGCCATTCAACTAGAAGGGTGTCCTATCGAGCCTCACTCAGGAGGGTACTGCTTGGCTTAAATAGGTAATCAACAGGTGGACAACTGATGTTTAAGATGTATTTAAAATTTATATTTTCAACATGCACATAGGTTTCAAACATGCAAAAAGTGGGTTGTATTAATTTTTTTTGTAGCGAAAAATGTATTTTTGTTTTAGAAAAATGTGTATTTGTTCCTATTAAGTTTATTTGTACTAATTTTGAGAAGTAGTTGTCCACGAGTCGATCGTGTTGTCGGGCATAAGACTACCAACAACCTAAGAAGATTCGGGTCAACTCCCGCTAGTCTTGTGTCGGTGAATGATATTGTCATCCTACAGCTCACCGGGTTCCTGAATCGGATCTTGATGGATTCCTGAATCGGATCCTGATGTCGTAGGATGACATATCATTCTGCACTATCTCCGGTGGGCCTTTGTCATCACCGCTCTACGCCCCAAAACAAAACCAACTACTTGCGACCTTATTTGATGGTTTCACGTATATCAAAATGCTATACGTGAACACTTATGTATCGGACATAAACATCGAAAATCGAACTAAGAAGCAAGAAAAAAAGAATAAAAATGGGATGAGAGAGAGGAGAGACTGATTCACCTAAAATATCGAAAATAACGAAGGATGAATCAGCCCTCAAAGTTTGTGACAAAAAGATTCGAAAAGGAAGACCCGAAAATCCTTGAATCAATCCGAAATGGATATCACTTTCTCACTTTTTTTTTTTAAATTGGACCAACCCGAGTCAAAATGACCTCCTAACGCCAGTATCCAAACCCCAATGACATCTTTAATGAAATTAATTTGTCTCAACCAAATACTTTTCCAAAATAAGATTTAAAATCTCCCAAACTTCAAAAAGAAAATGATCTCGGGAAAACCACCACTAATATTTTCAAACTCATGCCGAAATCAAAATTCTCCAACTTTCGAATTAATAGATCGCCTCATACATCAAATAAACATGAAATCTTTCCACAGAACCAAATAAATGCTCACGACCGGGGTCAATAGAGAAGAGGAAGCAACAACTAAGGCAACCCAAGGCTAAAAGAGGCTCACGGCTAAGGCAATAAAAGGGCCCAGAAAAGAACTGTGAAGGCTCGCGGTTGAGGGCAGCTCAAATCAATTCCCTAAAAGTTTTGATGTGCATAAGAGAGTACAAAACATCACCAATCTCTCAAAGTCATCACCAATCTCTCAACATCACCAATCTCTCAAAGTAACAAATTTGATCCATCTACAATCATTCAAATGATTCAAATTCAACAAGAGGGGCTAAATTAAACTCAACAAACTCCAATAGGTCTCACGGGTAAGGACTGCAAGAGGCGCAAATCTCAACTACATCACAAACCCATGGTAAGGAACCAAACATATATCAAAGCTGCAGTCTTATAAGCTTTCAAACCAATCCAAAACCGAGCCCAACAAGGCTAAAACATGACCCAAGCATCAATATAAATTCAGGCTTTAACAAAAATTAAAGTTCCAACCATTTCAAGGTAAAATTGAGCCATTCAAAGCCAAGGAATAGCTCACAAGCCTGTAAAACATCAGCATATGGAGCTAAAATAGATTTTAAACTATAGCAGTGTCATGAAAAGCATTTTTTAGGCCACCAATATAGTCGTTCTAAGCATGAATTAATTTCCCTCAAACATCCGAGCATGAAAGATCCCCCCCTTCAAGGAGTCAAACCAAATTATTAAAGCAAACTATAACATCTTTTCCAAATCAAAGTGAACTTCTTCATAACATGCATTTTAAGCAAGAGGAAATTATAAGATGCCAAATCCGAACCCCCAACATGCATGAAAGACCAAATAACCTCTCCAATATCTCATGCTAAATAAAAATAGATGAAAAACTTCATAATATATATTCTAACATGCTTGCAAGAGGAGTAACAAAATTATTCCAAAGCCGTGTTTCAACTCTTCTAATTGCTTCCAACATAAATATGCTACAATAAACAGAAACATGCCATAGCTTCACTACTTTAAGCAAGTAACCAAGTCTAGCTCCTAGAATATGCCCATATTTTTATCTCTAGATGCTTGAGTACCAAGTATTTCAAAGAAAACATAAGTGTGATATCACATAAGCATGCTGCACTATCCACTGAATCGAGCAAAAGGGGTTCGACTGAGAGAAAACCACAGGAAACCAGGGCACAGGAGAAAAAGGGGAAGAACAGATACCTCTAATATGACCTTTAAAACATTGTACTGCAAAAATAGTTTCAAAGAGATGCTCCCATAGAAATCTTCTTCCTAAAATCTTCCAACAACAAAGATCTCCACTTCCCCTCTTTAAGAAACTTCTCAACAACCCCAAAACCCAAAAGAAACTATATTCATAGGCAGAGAAGAGGGGGAAAGAATGAAGTCAACCAACACCCTCTTCGGTACTCGAATCGGGTCAAGGAAGAAGAAGAACGCCTTCCCTGCTTGCAAAAGGCGAGGCAACCGAAGTACTCAGGACAAAGTGAAGAGGGCGAGTGGTAGCGAGAGAGGCATCGGGAAGAAGAGAAAGTTGTCACTCAAGTGTTCCAGGGAGCAAGTTCCTCAGAGTCAAACTACCAAGAAAGGAAAATCGCAGCTCGTGGAAGCTGGCGCGGCTTCGAGAAGGAGGGTCGCGGGCAGCAAGTGTCAGGCAAGGACGAACGAGAGGTCAATTCTCTCTCGCGTGGAGGAGAAGGGGCTCGGTCGGCTCGAGACCGAGAAAGTATATATATATATA